GCTATTGTTATGTGATATACATATTTTTTATTAAAATATTAATATTTATTGTAAGTATACCTATGCTATTTGTTAACACTCTTGTTAATATGTAAATCTTTTTGGTTGATATTTTACTCATGCATGACATATATCCTTATAATTGTTGATATTGATTTAGTATATTGTTACTTTCTTTGAATTCTAAGGTAACGAAGTATCGGGAATAAAAACTATAGCATTATTCAGTAATTATTATTATTGAAACATACATATTTATTTTAAATTAAAACAATATGATTATATAAAAATAGATTTTGTTGACTTACAAACTGGTCTTTTCAAGAACCAACATCGTGTTCGAGGTGTGACATCAGAAATAAGAGAAGTGTTTTAACAATTTTCAATGATGCTGCAAAGAGAATAATATAATACAAGCCACCCCACAATTCTTAATATCGTGTGTAGTAGAAAAAGAAATTGATAACCTTAAAATGGCATTACAAGATTTCAGAAGTGCTACCACATCAGTCAAGCTTAGTATGTCAATTCAAACATAATAAACATGCCAAATTAGGGTAGATACAATAATAGAACTGAGACCAGAGAACCTGGTGAATATGTTCAAGCATGATAGCTGATAATAACACGTGTCGAGGTGGCACCATTACATTCCAAGCAATAGTTGCAAGTCACAGCATCAAAATATCTCTTGTAAGAGAGATCAGCTTCCGATCATTTCCATCCATTGTTGGAACTCCACTCAATAACACATTTTCTATGGGGAAATTCAATCGGTCTGCCGGGAAGTCGAGCCTTTGCATCAAGTATCTGATCTCGTGTTGCATTACTGTGGTCTAGTGTATAGTTGCGAGCTTGCAGAGGATGAGGCCTTCAGATCATCCACTATCTGACTATGTTCAGAGCCAAGGACAATGCTAGCCCAGTTGGATGACCTGTGGACTATCCTTGACGGAATCCGGTCGCTGTCTTCACCACCAGATGCTTCGTACCCGTCACTGGTTGATCTTGAGCGCTGAATCCCCCTAGGTGGGATAATGCCTGGGTTGGAAATGGAATTGAGACCTCGTGCTTCCTCGGTTCCCGAAGAGGAAATGCGAAATGGATGTAGATCAGGTGAGTCCAAACTACTATCAGGAGAAGAAGCAATAACTCTAGCTGATGGCATCGGCCTGTTAGGCCAAAAAGCACTACGGGCTTCAAGCTGCAGGGGTGCTAAACTGGTGGATGTTTTAGGAACCAGGTCGCTGACATTACCGTCGGTTGCACTAGTAGAAACTTTTGCAAGAGGTTCGAGAGGAAGGTCAACTGGAATCCTTCCTCTTTTGTTCGTCCGACTAGGGTTCTCAGGCCTCAGGACAATTCTGCCAATATTGTTCTCTGCGTCTTGCCCCTGCAGAACTTCTCGTCTAACAATTGGCTGCAGGATTTTGGATTTCTTCCTTGCCTCCGCAGCAGCTTTTGAAACTTCTTCGGCATTAAGATGAGCAAGGGTCCATGGACTAATTTTGACAGTTCCAGCATTCCTTTTCTTGACTTGTTCCTCTGGCATCATCTTCTTGCTTGTGTAATTTGCAGATGTGCCAATCTTTGGGGGTACAACATCAAACTGGGAGAAAAAAATGGAACCCTTTTCATCAACCCAAATAAGCATGACAAGAAAGCAAAATAGAAAACACAAGAAGCCCATCCTACCGCTAGGTTACTTTGTATGTTGTAAAAATGTTACACAGTTCACTTTATTTTGGGCCTAAATATGGGTAAGACTACCATGAGTGAACAAAAAAAACAAATTACATCACAGTGATTCCATATATGTATGCAATAACAAGCAAGCATGAGGATCCAATAAGTTATCTATAATTAAGGGGATTCAAAAGCATCTTAGGTGATGGAGAACCATCTAATTTTATAAAGGATTTCAGAAAAGTTGATTCTAGGCAAAGAAATCAATAAAAAGTCATCAATTAGTTGGCCTAGAAATTCTAAGAGTTTTGTTAAAAATTAAAAACAAAATCTTTTGGTCTTTCTAGGGACTCCTTTTGTATTAAGTGTACTCTTGTATTAAGTGCACTCATTTACTATTTAGCTATCCTAAAAGTCACATTTTGTTTTATTTTATTATTATTTTTTGGATAACTTTCAAGCGTTCAAATTTTAGTGGTACTGTTGTTGTAACTAAAAACATGAGAAAGTGTGATAAATAGACAAAAAAAAAAAGAGAAAATGGGGGGAGAAAAGATAAAAACCATGATCGAATAAAATAGACAAGACCATTGCATCAGTCGAGGATAAATTTTACTGGCCTTCTTTAAAGCGAGATGTTACTCAAGTGGTGTCGCAATTTCACACCTATCAAGTTACCAAAATTTGCAAACACAATAATGGCCTATACCCATTCCATATTCACCATGACAAAATGTGAGTTTAGATTTTATTCTTGGACTTCCCGAAACAACATATGGCCATGACTCTATTTTGGTTGTTGTTGATCGATTTTAAAAAATGACAATTTTATCCCATGTAATAAGTCTGACGATGCCTCACACATTGCTAAATTGTTCTTTCGATAAATGATTAAATTACATGGCTTGCCCCTTAACCATAGTGTCTGATAGGGATGTGAAATTTATTAGCTACTTTTGAAAATTTTTATGGAACCTATTTAGCACAACATTGAAGTTCTCTTCAACCTTTCACGCCTAAACTGATGGTCAAACTAGGACTTAACTTTACCCAATGCATAATTTGTGTACAATAACTCAATCAATCACTCCACCGGAAAAAGCACATTTCAAACTGTCCTTGGCTATACTCCTCGCACCCCCATTGACCTTGTAGCTTTTCTACTTATCTATCGTGCCTCAGAACTAACTCACTCCTTCGCTCAACATATTCATAACTTACATGCTAAAATAGGACATCAAATTATCCTAAAGTAATGAAAGTTACAAATTTGTTACCAATGCACCTTGTCGAAGTCAAGAGTTTTAAGTTGGCGATTATGTCTTGGTTCACATTTGTCCTGAGAGATTCCTTAAAAACTCATTCAAAAAGTTATATGCTCAAGCTATTGGTCCTTTTCCCATTATCTTAAAACAAGGATCTAATGCATATATGCTCAATTTGCCTTCTAGCTTAAATATTAATCATTTAATCTAGTTTTCAATGTGGAGGATTTAATGCCATATCATGGTACTTTTAAGCCTCCTCTATCTACTAGTGTTCCTGCAGGTGACAATCCTCCCAAAGTATCGATTCTCTCACAACACAAGGATAACGTAGAGGCCATTCTTGATGACCGCCTTATCATGTCTACTACTAGCATTACTCAATACTTTATTGTCAAGTGGCATGATCGTCCAGCTTTCGATACCACTTGGATTACCTTGGAGGAACTTTGTGAGTTTACACCAGACTTATTGGACTAGTACCTTGTAGATCACTCTCCAAGGTCGAGTTCTTTTCTACGGGGGAAGAATGATGAAGAACTATCTAGTTTTACAAAGAATTTTAGAAAAGTTTATTCTTGGGAAAGAAATCAACAAAAAATCATCAATTAGTTGGCCTAAAAATTCTAAGAGTTATGTTGAAAATTTAAAAAAAGCTCTTGGTCTTCCTAGGCATTCCCTTTGTATTAGGTGCACTCTTGTATTAAGTGCAGTCATTTACTATTTAGATATCCAAAAAGTCATATTTTGGATTTCTAAAACGTTTATTAATTCCCTAGGAGATTACTCTTAGGAATTATGGTCTTCATTAATTATATCAAGGCTCCTAAACCCCTATAGATAGTGGAGCTTGTCAATTGATCAATATTTCAGATTTGAATGAAAAGAATTCCATCTTCTCTCTTATCTCACACTTCTCTTTCTTTCTCTTCCCATTTCTCTCTACTTCCCTAATCTATTCTACATCATTAGGATTTGGTCCTAAAGAGAAGGTAATATGACAATCACAGGAGATTGTATTTTTTCCTTATTACATTGCAAAAGCCAACAAATTCAATAAAGTAGATAACTGCTCAGGAATTTGAACGAGCAGCTTTGCTTCTTATGTTAGCTGTACTAACTATCAACAAAACCATATATATCTGGCATTTAAAAGAAATATTTTTGGCCTACTGGACTGTTGTCTAGTCAAGAAAGTTATGTGACCATAACATACCTTCTTTGTTCAGTTCCTGCTAGGTCACTTTGACATCACAAGAACATATGGTTGTGGACAATTCCACTTGCAATTCAGCCAAGAGGGAGGGATAGGAATTCTTTTTCTTAGGTGATGTGTTTTGCATTAATAGGCATGTTACCATTATTATAAGAGTTGTTTTGTTTAGTAATTTGCTTATTAATGCTTAGAGCCTTTGAAATTGGAATTGCTTCTTACAGCAAAATTTATCATTCCGTTTCCTTCTAGGATCTTCTTAAACTCAAAAAGTGTTTCTAGAATATGGTTCCATGTCACTTGAGCGCAAACTGCAATCTGTAGAGCAGCTTTTGGCCTAACTAGCCGTTTAGGTTAGGCTAATCCCTCTCCTGCTTAAATTGTCATTGACTAGGAATCCGGAGGGGTTTTAGTTCCTCAATCACTTACTAAGTTTTAACAAATTTCTTAAGGGAGCTTTCTCAAGTTTGATTTACTTTATAGCCCATCCCATTTTTATGGGAGAGACTCGGAAGAGAATGATAATTTTGTTTTAACATGTTTCAATTGTATTTGTGAGACTATGCGACCCTATTTAATTAGATAAGATATTTTATAGATCTGATTGGATTTTGATTATGATTATTGGCTAACAGAAAAAAAAGTCCACTCATGGTAAGATTCCCTAAGAGATGATCTTGATGGGAGGGAGTCTCTTATTTTTTTATCATAAACCCTCTACTCTCGCCTATAAATAAACAGGACCTTGTAGGGATTACACACGATACGAGATCTATTCATAGCCTTCCTAAGTCCCTATTTCATCACTTATAGTGGTCCTATAAAGGATACGAAGAGAAAAGACGAGTCTAGTTATCCTTGCAGATTGACATCGCTATAACCTTCAGATTTGACAATGGTGCATTTGCATATAAGATAAAAGGTTTTCAAAATGACATCGAAAGGTATATAATCCTGATCTTAATCTATCATTATGGCATTAAGTTTTTTCATATAACAGTAGCATAATTATAGGCTTTATGCTTACAATTGGTATCAGAGTTTATCGTTTTGAAATCAAATAATGTAGATCATATTTGTTTAGTATTTAGATCTGTTTATTAGCACTCTTCGCATGCAAAAAGGTGTTGTTTAGTTTTGAGTGTATAATGCTTAAACAATCTGTCTGTGTTTTCAATCAGCATTCATATATTGTTTGTCTTGTCCGATCTTTGAATCTATTCCTCAGTGCTCCTCGTCTGCTTGCGAGTGATGTAATGCAGGTGGAACCACGACAGAGTGCCCGTACTTATTTGGCAGGCTACTGCCGACAACAGCTCTGTTAAGGGTAGTAGCCTCCATTGGTCATTAGCCCTATCACGGAAAATGGCTACGTATACGGCAATTGTCGTTGCATTGTTGCTGCCTATGTGCAACAACCTAAGCGACATGCCTTGGTCACTAGTGGTTGCACACATAGCGATGCTGCTACGTGCCATAGCAGAGCAAGGCAGGGTGCTACCTTTGACCGATGGCTATAGCGATGCCGCTGTGGCAGCGTCTATTGGACGCGAATAGCATCTACGAGACACTGATGGCCATGGTTCAAAGTGGCTCCGTAGCGGCCACAAGGGTCGCTGATTGACTGTGAACACGCGCAGCCGATGAGACTCGCCCAACAGTGATAACCGTGCGCAAGGGAAGGGAGCACCGATAAGGGAGTCACCGATCAGTTGCGGAGGGAATTCGAGCCAACGATGCGTAGGCGGTGGACAACCGTGCACCATGGCAACCACATGGCTTACACAGGCTACAATAGTTGAGAAGGGAATAAAGTTTCACCCATTAAAATTATAGTTTTGAACTTATGAATTCTTTTAATTTCAGTCAATGTCCTCGACAGTTTTGCCTTTAGAAATCAGATATTTGCATTGTATCATGATAAAATTATAATTTTGCCCTTAAAATATCAAATATTTTTTACTTATGTCCTCAACCATAAAATTGACTAATTTGACCGACTTTAATCAAATATTTTGATTGGACTTGATTCTGGCTATATTTTGGTCGCTTGATTGGATTTAGATTCGATCAATCTTGTTTTGATTGAATTTGGAAAAAGTCAAATTTTGATCATTTTTTTTTATCTTAGTCAACTTTAGTTTTAACTGACCTAATTGGACTTATGTTTAGCCTAAATCTGCTAGCCAATATTTGGGTAGCCCAATTCTGGGCTTACCCAATTAAAATGGTTGAATAGGTTTCATACGAAATTTAAAAAATATAAATTATGATTTTTTTTATACTTTTCTCATATGAAATATTGATAAAATTTTTGCTTATGTTAATTAAATCAGCGATTTAAAAAGCACTAGGCGCCAAAATGCACTAAGGTCCAAAAACGCCCGAGGCGCTAAACGATCGCCTAAGCAAAGCGAGACACTAAAATATAAAAATATATAATAT